GAAAGACTAGAGGAAAGGCAACTAGTCAACAGCTCTAACCGCCAACTCTTGGGCTGTTCTAATGGAATTGATTGTCATTCTTATAACGCGCCCACGATCCCAAAGTGAAAAGCGCGATTTTTTCAGCAACGAGACGCTAACCATAGACCCTCAGATCCACAGCCCTGTACTATAACCATTCCTTTCTCAGTGTCTTATGTATATAGATAAGATCTACACATGTGTGTAACCATTATGGAGGCTGGAAAAAGCAACTTAGAAATATAACTTTTATTTATTGCATTTTATATATTCTTTTTATTAAGTTTGTTTGTTTTTAATTATGCACAAAGCTACACAAGGGCTATCTGTGCTCTGCCCACCACGGGTATCGAAACTCGGTTTCTAGCGTTGTAAGTCCGCAGACATACCGCTGTGCAACTGGGGGGGTCTTTTTATTAAGAATAATTACCTTCTCACAAGTGGCTGCAGGTGGTGAACAGTCGTTTTAGCTGTTTAAACGTTGTGGGCTCGAGTACTGCTTCTTGGATACCTTTTTTACCAGGATAAAGTTTACCATTTCCCTGTGGCAACCTGCACCCGAAAGTAGTTATTTATGTTTTAAAGCTAACTGGTCTGTAATATATCGATTGTTCTTATATGACGGTTAATGACTCACAAAATGAGTGAGGCATATATAATACATATTAAACTTAAGGCAATATCAGATTCACTGGAATTGGTTTAGTTGTATACTTCAAAGTGCCTTGAGTTTTCTATTGTCAAATAAGCCATTCCAAGACACTTGCTGAGATAGTCATTCGCAGATGTAGCTAATTTTAGGATAGATTTCTGTTTTATTGGAAGTAATTTTATTTTTCAGAACTTAGTATTCCCTATTGTTTCTAAAATAAATTAAGGTTCCATCTCGAGCTAGGATGGATGTCCATGGCAGCTCCTAACCAAGTGTAGTAAAATCTTGTCCCTCGTGCCATAAAGAAAGCGTTGTGAGGAAATGTAATTTAAGGTGTTTTAGACTTAACGTTCTACTTGAAGAAGGGTTTAGTTCAGCAACCTTTAAGACGAAGATATGTATATATATCTCATGAAAAAATATAGCATGAATATTTGATGCATAAATGGAACATGGCAATTTTCTATATTATCCACCATTCATCTCTCTAACAAAGATGTACAAGGTAAAAGTGCACTCTGTATCGGGTTTTGTTCAAGAATTGAAACTTTGAAGTAAGAGCTTGCAAAGAAATAGTTATTCAAAAAAAAATTGTGCAACAAAGTTCAAGCGCTTTACGTTCTTTATACAGAAACACGTTAACTCTTTAATTTTATTTCGTAAAGCAAATCTTGTTCCTTGTTGAAAATAAGTAGTTAAATAATTAGCAAGACGACTTCAAAGGTATGTTGCGACATAGTAGTTAGTTCGAAAAACTGAACATTAATTAGCCTTAACATTCTTTGTTACACTTTTAACAGTGTTAATGTTATCATAAATCACTGATTTTTTTAGCATTTCAAAAATTATCGCTAAATAATAAAGCTATATAGGGCTAGCTACTGAACAAAGCTACGTAGAGCTGGCTACTGAACAAAGCTAAGTAGGGTTGGCTACTGAACAAAGCTGTGTAGGGCTGGCTACTGAACAAAGCTAAGTAGGGTTGGCTACTGAACAAAGCTGTGTAGGGATGGCTACTGAACAAAGATAAGTAGGGTTGGCTACTGAACAAAGCTACGTAGGGCTGGCTACTAAACAAAGCTGTGTAGGGCTGGCTACTGAACAAAGCTACCGTAAGACTGGCTACTGAACAAAGCTACGTAGAGCTAGTTACTGAACAAAGCTGTGTAGGGTTGGCTACTGAACAAAGCTAAGTAGGGTTGGCTACTGAACAAAGCTACGTAAGGCTGGCTACTGAACAAAGCTACGTAGAGCTAGCTACTGAACAAAGCTACGTAGGGTTGGCTACTGAACAAAGCTAAGTAGGGTTGGCTACTGAACAAAGCTGTGTAGGGATGGCTACTGAACAAAGCTACATATGGCTGGCTACTGAACAAAGCTACGTAGGGCTGGCTACTGAACAAAGCTAAGTAAGGTTGGCTACTGAACAAAGCTACGTAAGACTGGCTACTGAACAAAGCTATGTAGGGCTGGCTACTGAACAAAGCTACGTAGAGCTAGTTACTGAACAAAGATGTGTAGGGTTGGCTACTGAACAAAGCTATGTAGGGTTGGCTACTGAACAAAGCTGTGTAGGGCTGGCTACTGAACAAAGCTACGTAGAGCTAGTTACTGAACAAAGATGTGTAGGGTTGGCTACTGAACAAAGCTAAGTAGGGTTGGCTACTGAACAAAGCTGTGTAGGGCTGGCTACTGAACAAAGCTACGTAGAGCTAGCTACTAAACAAAGTTGTGTAGGGTTGGCTACTGAACAAAGCTACGTAGAGTTGGCTACTGAACAAAGCTAAGTAAGGTTGGCTACTGAACAAAGCTACGTAGAGCTAGTTACTGAACAAAGCTGTGTAGGGTTGGCTACTGAACAAAGCTACGTAGAGCTAGTTACTGAACAAAGCTGTGTAGGGTTGGCTACTGAACAAAGCTAAGTAGGGTTGGCTACTGAACAAAGCTGTTTAGGGATGGCTACTGAACAAAGCTGTGTAGGGCTGGCTAGTGAACAAAGCTACGTAGAGTTGGCTACTGAACAAAGCTAAGTAAGGTTGGCTACTGAACAAAGCTACGTAGAGCTAGTTACTGAACAAAGCTGTGTAGGGTTGGCTACTGAACAAAGCTACGTAAGGTTGGCTACTGAACAAAGCTACGTAAGGCTGGCTACTGAACAAAGCTACGTAGAGCTAGCTACTAAACAAAGTTGTGTAGGGCTGGCTACTGAACAAGATAGAGAAAATAAAATCTCTACATTACTGGCTTCCTCACTTTGTCAATCGAAAGCTTGGTGTTTGAATAAAATCTCAACTTTCATCATTATAGCTTTCCTTTAGTTAACTTTAGAATACTACTTTTGTGACTATTTTGCAACAGAGTAACATTTTATGACTGTAAATGTTGGTGCTATTTGTGAGGAAGCCAGTCACGTAGGGATTATATTCTCCATGTATGTAAAGTTGAGGCGGTGTAGTCTGTTATGTGATCATTAGCCAGAACAAGTGATATATCCACTTCCATCCCTATCTTGTTTGGTTCTTTTGTTTTTTAAGTTTAGTAGCGAGCATAGATTTTATATTTAGCGATATTTGTTTTACTAATACTTGTTTGTTTGTTCTTTTAAAAAATGGCGTACGTGGGTTACTAGGTTACAGAGTATATTCTGAAGCTTTATAAATTTTACATAGAATAATAATAAAATAAACAGTCATAGATCGCGAAGACTGTTTTGCTCTATGAACTAGTGATAAAATTATAGTTACTGCTAGAACTCGATAGGCGCTAGGCCTGTTGATGAAATACAACGATAAACGAAGATAAAAAATCTCGGTTTTGGCTATTCGCTGGTTTTCAATTTTGGGACGCTCTGGATAGCTGAAAAATGTTAAAATGCTAATACTGTATTTTGTATATTCCAAAGTAAATTTTCAATTGTAGATAACTGTATAACTGTAATTATTTCAGTTTTTAGAATTTTGGAAGATATTTGTAAATAATTATATAAATAATTTCCACCTAATGTTATATCAGAGTGAAATCTGCTAAAAATCGGGGCTCGATAACCGTGGTGGGCATAGCACAGATAGCCCGAGTTGTAGTTTGCACTTAAAACCCACCAAGCCAACAAATAAGTGTTTTATGTTTAACTAATTGCCAGCCTATCCTCTTTTAAATACATACGGTACAAATCTAACTTAAAATTCAGTTAACTTATATACGGATACAGTTCATAAAAACCATTTAAGATCAAATGGAGAGGCAAATCACAATAAAAAAGCTGGACGAATCAAACGTTTTTCCACGTTTCCCCTTCTTCCGAATTAATTTTATGAGGGAAATTCTAAATCCTAAAGGTTTAGCGCGTCGGGCTGTAGATTGAAAAGTCCAGGGTTCGAGACGTAATACCTCCGAACAGGCTTCATGCCTTCAGTTGTAGGTGTGTTATTAAAGTACAGTCAATTCCGTTATTTAGTTCAACGAGCCCTTATGGAGACGAATGCTGCTAGCTCCCTCTGGTCATTTGTTAAAACTTAGGGTCAGCTCTATCTGATACCTATGGGTTTCAGATCTGGTAGTTTAAGTGCAGTTCTACTCCTTAAAGCATTTTGCTACCAGTTTCTAATACAGAGTTACACAGGTGTGATAACACCAGTTAAGTTTATCACAGAAGAAAGTTCCCAGGAAGAGCCAATAGTAGACATTATTTTTAATAGTTATATGTTTTGTATCAATTTAGTCACTCTGTTTATAAAATGTGGCTCGTTATCCAAGAACTGCTGTACATTTCAATGTGCGCCTGATTGCGTACGAAAATACGATAAGGATGTTCGGATATCTTATTTGTTTGTTTATTGTCTCTTCAAAAACTTGACTCACACTTTATGCCACTTCATGTAGGCATGCATAAAGTTATGAAATGAAGCTACATTATAATGATGATTCACATACAAACTGAACCTGAACTGTTGTACTTTTTGTACTTAAAGATGACTTGCTCTCGCATAATTCCAAGGTAAAACGTATACTTTTTATTGCAGCCAGATAAGGTCATATGTTCTAATATTTTATTGTTAAAAACAACTTAATTATGGTTTTGTGGACTTAATACATTTATATAAAAATATATAAACTAATATACATATACAGTTGTTTTTAACATATATTTATCGGTGCTGTTTAACAAAGATATACACGTATTTGAGCATCTTAAAATAACTATGTGTATTTTCTACTATTTCAGGAGTTAAAAATCATCCGTTGCGTCCAGAACGAGACACCGTAACATTTAAACGGCTTCTCTAGAGGATTTTAAAGAATGAATCGGGGATTGACGCTTGTATTAGCCACTTGTAGCGCCCTCTGTTTAGGAAATAGCTTTCCTCTGCCTGATTACACAAACAATCCTCTCGTCGTTCGGACTACCAAAGGCTTGGTGCGGGGAGTAACATCTCGATCAGCTACTGGAAAATTAGTAGACGTTTACTGGGGAATTCCCTACGCTAAGCCTCCTATAGGAGAATATAGGTTTCGTCACCCAAAACCTATAGATCCTTGGAGTGGAATCTTTAACGCTACAGAAAAGCCCAACTCCTGTTTTCAAATCAGTGATACATTCTTCGGAAACTTTTCTGGTTCCACAATGTGGAATCCTAATACTTTATTAAGTGAGGATTGCTTGAAACTGAACATTTGGATTCCTCGGCCCCGACCGAAAAATGCTGCAGTTTTGGTGTGGATTTTCGGTGGCGGTTTCTATAGTGGAACTACAACATTGGATGTGTATGATGCTAAAATTTTCGCTTCCGAGGAAAATGTTATAATTGTTTCGATGAATTATCGAGTAGCATCACTTGGGTTTTTGTACTTCAGCCATCCTGACTCTCCAGGTAACGCAGGTTTGTATGACCAATTAATGGCCTTAGAATGGGTGCGAGACAACATTGGCTTGTTTGGTGGTAATCCTCACAACATAACTTTATTTGGTGAGAGTGCAGGCGCCGTTAGCATTGGTCTTCATCTCATGTCACCTCTTAGCAGACATCTATTCAGTCAAGCAATCATGCAAAGTGGATCCGCAACATCTCCCTGGGGTATTCTTGATCATAAAGAATTGATCACACGTGGTTTGCAGCTTGCCGAAGCAGTAAAATGTCCTCATGATCCAAGTTATTTAGAAGCAGTTATAAAATGTCTTCAAAAGACTGACCCAATGATTTTAATTGAAAATGAATCTGGAAGTTTTGGCATCGTAGATTTTCCTTTTGTACCGGTTGTAGATGGTACTTTCATTGATGAACACCCTTCCAAATCTCTCGAAACAAAGAACTTTAAGAAAACTAACATTCTTATGGGAAGCAACACGGAAGAGGGAACTTTTTGGATCGTCTACTACTTAACGGAGCTTTTCAAAAAGCAGGAAAATGTGTATTTGACGCGAGCAGACTTCATAAATTCAGTTAAAGAACTAAATCCGTATATTGGCGATGTTGGCCAAGAAGCCATAATCTTCCAATACACGGATTGGCTGGATCCAGACGATCCTATCAAGAATAGAGATGGAATTGATAAGATAGTTGGTGATTACCATTTTACTTGCAGTGTAAATGAATTTGCCTATCGATACGCCGAAACTGGAAATGAAGTATACATGTACTATTTTACTCACCGATCTTCCGTCAGCCACTGGCCAGAATGGATGGGCGTTATGCACGGGGACGAAATTTCTTTTGTATTCGGAGAACCCTTAAACCCAACAAAGAATTACAATGAGCAAGAAAAAGTCTTAGCCAAAAGAATTATGAGGTATTGGGCCAACTTTGCTAAAACCGGGTAAGCAATATATATATATATTAGTGTATAGCCCGTCAAAAATGACGAGTGTTAAGAAAACTCTGTAAAAATTGCTATAACTTAACTAACGAAAACTATAGGAAGAAGGAATTGTACACTGTAATTCTGAATGTAATAATAACAAGTCAGTTTTAGTGAAGAGACATGGATGGATTTCGTTATTTAACTAAAACGAATGGAAGATGATATGAATTGATAAAAACGTAAGTGTCTTTATTTAATAAAGTTTCCATTGTTAATATTTCTTTAACTGCGTAATTTAAATACTATGCGTTCACACTTATAAATATGTAACTAAATATTATCTGACTCTAACGTTAGTAATGGTAGGTCTATTTGTAGTCTAATTTAAGCATTAGGTTTAATACATAAACATAACATAAGGCTTAGCTGAAAAACTATGGTAAATTAGATTTTGCTTTTGGTCAATTGGAAATAATGTTGTATTGTGGCATTATGGCAACGCTGTACAACCTCCACTGGGGATATTTTGTGTCTAAGGGTCATACCTTTTGTACCATGGCAACGCATTGCATCAAGTGCTATGTCTAGCAGGATTTGAGATAAATAACATTCACAATTCATCTGCTTTGACTAGCAGCCCCTTGTGTAGTCCAGAGTGGTGCAAAAAAATATTGCATCACCCAATTCTTTCACACTTTTCTTGGTTCCTGTAATTTTTTTGCGAAACTGTGAATTGCGGAAGTGTCAGAGCTAGTGTTAAACAGTTTTGAACATTGTTTGATGAAAGCTGACTCATAATTCAGCCATTCAAACACATATATGTAGCTTTATTAACAAACCAACCGTGATATGTGTTAAATCAGATGATAAATGAATACTTGGTAAATAGGAAAATGTTTTCTGAGTAAAATCATAGATTTAAAGATAACATACTATTGTAATTGATAAAAGGGGGTCAGAGAGTCTGTTTCTTGTTTTCATATTCAGTTGTGCCCTTTCTGGTCTTGATAACTAGTGCACGAGGGACTGAATGTAGGCAGAAGTGAGTTAATGATGCCACATGCAGATTAAAGTTTCCTGCAATTACAAGCTTCTTTTCTATTTCTTCTCTTCACTTTGTTACCCATTACCTTCCAGCAGTTTTCGATAGGTTTGAGACCTCGGCTGTTGCCTGACCAACATAGTATCTTTATCCTCACTCTTTGAAAGATAGTCCTTACCCTGAAGCAAGGAAATAAAACCTAAGATGTATTTTCAGCACACGTAGAGTGGAATTTCCTCTTTATGTCACGTCTACTTCATTAAATGCATGAATATTACCAACCTTTTTACCCCTGTAGCATGGAATGCTAGTCAGTTCCACCGAAGTGATCACCACTTGTTATTAACTCGGACTAGAGAACCTCGATGGACCTGTCGGCATTGACAGTGCCTTTCACAAAGTACAGACATCCTGACCAGAGATGAATCCCTATATTAGCTGCTTCACAGTTGCATTCAAACACACTAAATGAAACTCTTCACCACATCAACATCTTACAAAGTGCTTACCATCAGGCCCGTTCAGAATAATTGTGATTCGTCTGAGAAGGTCATTTTGCTCCACAGTACTTCAGTCCAGTCAGCATGCTCTTTGGGCCAGCTGAGACCAGACAGTGTCATGCTCTGCTGAGATCTTTTGACAACACTCTGCAGGCTCATGCATTTCAGAACACGATCGCTAGCTGCTGTGAAAGCTTTCTTCCTATCTTTCCCTTCCGCCACTTCATGTAATCAGTGTTTCCATATCTTTGTACCCAATTTAATTCTTCTAGCAATCTGCCTTGCTGAAAGTCTCTATTTACTCAAAGAAATAATGACTGCTTTTTTCCATATAGTTAACGTACAACCCTTCGCCATGGTAGCATCACACAGACACGTTGTAGCAGATATACTTTTAAACTGACTCTTGATAAGTACCTCTATTTATAGCCAAAAAAATGGCCGATGCTGCTCCCAGACAACCTATAAACCTGCTGATGTAATAGCTAGACAGTACTGCATCATTCATGAAACACATTTGTACCTACATGCATTAAGGCCTCAAAACGGACGATGATTCCCAAGAAACGTATAAAAAATTGGGTGATGCAATATTTTTTCAACACTGTATTTAAATTATCCTGAGATGTCTTGGAAAGTCGAGTGAGAGACAGGATCCACAATTTTTTTAAGGCGCTTGGAGCTGCTCTGCAAAGGTATTTGTGGATCTCTCCCGTTACCATCATATTATACTCGCACTTCGCTTTCCCCTGTTATACCCATCAACTCTGTTTAGGTTGTACTTATTTCTATCAGGAATTGACCCATACCCATATTAACATAACAAATTACTGTTTATTATTGATAATCGATAACATAGATTTAAAAATAGATTTTTGTTTTTTACTGGCAGCATATTACTTTTCCCGTCTCCTCTCTCAATTTATTCATTCTCTCTCACACATCTTCTAGTCTTCTCTCCTCTTTCTTTCTTTATGTTGAACCTCTGTCTTTTATATTCCTTTCTCAAATCCACACTGAACCGTATCTTTCTTTCTGACCTTTCACCTGTCTCGTGTATATGGAATTATAACTTTTCTTAACTATTGAGGGTATTAAAGACTCCATTGTTTGTTTGTTTTG